ATGCACAAAATTAAAGAAAAGTGTGTTCTATTCAGCTAATTTTGTGTTGAAGAAAACTATACATTGATACATAAAGTAAGTGCAAGGATTATTTAAATATCAGAGTAAATGAAACTTCAGTGTTACTTTTAGGATACAATTTGACTTAACGATCTGCCTTCTGCAGCAAACAATCAAATTTTCAGGATGTGAGGCACTGAGAAGGAAGGACCTGTGGGACTAGAGCCCCCTATTAGTTATAAACATCCCTCACCTCACAGAGGGATGCACTGTACACAGGATTGAGATAGAATCAGATAAAATAATGGTATTCCAATAAAAAATTAAGATAACAATTTCATTATGCACTTAAAAAAAAAAAAAAGACATTTCCAAGAGACTGGAACAGGTATCAAGAAAAAAAGCTCACTTTCGCACGAACCTGAGACATGAAGTAAGATGCTCTAAGTCAGAGGGCAGAAACCAAAGCTTCAAGATTATGAGAAGTGACTCAATTCAAGCTTGCTTCTCTTTTAACCTCTGACAAAATGACACAGCTTAGACCATAATCAATCTAACCTCAAATATTCATAAACCTACTGCCAGAAGATGTAAATAATGACACTACTTAAGCTTTAACTACTTAAGCATAAACTACAAAATTAAACACAATTAATGCTTTATCAAACTCAACAAACTGATAGATGAAATCGAACATTTGTTTTAGAAAGGTCTCTTGATATAAAGATTTTCATGTGAAACAGTACTATATGCATGTACATATTTACCATGTATGCTCTTCAGAGATTATTTCCAGTGCTAAAATGGACACCTTATCTATAATTTGAATTTGTCATGCCTCAATTTCCAGCTGGTACATCATGTTTGCCTAGGAAAAGAAAAGATTCCCCTGCTATTCAACCTGCTTCTACTTTGTTAGACAGTAACCACGGTAATTCTTCACCTCCTCCAAAAAGCTTGCATTTGGAGCCTCTCATATTTGGCTCTATGATTTAGATCTGGGTCCTGATGGGCCTTTAATATAGCAAATCAGCTGACAAATACATAAGGTTAGAGCCTGAGGGGCAGAAAGGTCTGCATCCTGCTTACACCACAAGCACCAGCTGCTTAAGCACAATAACAGCCACTTTTTGCAGGCAACCCTACATATTTTCTCTCTTTCAAGCTTTGCTCCTCACCTGTCAGTTTTATTTTCTGGCACTCTCAGACTCTGATACTCTTCATACTAAATCAAGTAATTCTGGAGTTTGTAAGGAATGCAGGCACCATCTACTTGCAGACAACAGAACACATCAAATGCATTATGACCACAGCATAGTAAGTCCTTAATCCTGAAATGCTCTGGACACACAAGTTCTCATGCAAGTGGTTATATCAATGTCCAGTGAGCAATCTACATTTGCTACTCATGTGATTTAAGCCTGTGCTCAGCTTCATATCCTCTAGCTACACAATGACAAAGCTAAGACTTATTTTAAATAAGAGCTATAAGAGATTCTGACATATGGCCAAAAAAGTACTACTTCCTATTCTGAAATCCTGTGTAAGAAGAAGGTTTTTTTTTCCTTCTTGTAACCAACTTTGACTACTGACTATTAAAGAGATTAAAAATGTGTTTCTAATAAAATGATGATTATGGTTAGAATGTCTTCAGAAGACTGGTGTCATTCATGTTTATTTTCTCCACAGGCTTACACTATAATGTCCTACATAGTTAGGACTCACACAAACTACATGTCAGAGTCTTCTTTAAAACCATTAAGCTGTGTATCTACACTTATAAAGCAGTGCTAAATCCAGGCAACACACAGATAACTGAAGATTCTTTATGAGTGAGTCTGAAGAATTGACTTTTGCTCAGTCTTTTGTATCATGGATAAGATGGCTCTTGTTTCAGAGTAGCTTTTACATCTCTCAGTACATAAATTGACAAAACATCTAAAAGTGAATTATACTCTCATAAGTAGTCGATTATTCATGGTTAAACGGCACCAATTTTAAAAAAAGCTACTATTTCTTCATTTACTCTAGGAATATTATACATGCTTAAAAACAACCTATACATCCTCATGGCCATTTAGATCATACCAATACACTCCAGAAGAAAAAAAAAAAAAAAAGCATGATTATTCCCAAGAGAGTTATGCTGTTCGAATCTACAGGATCTCACAAAGATTTATACATAATAGGTGACTTAAGAAGCAAAGAACAGATGCACAATGAAGACAATACTGCAGCTACAACTGAAGTGGGTGTAAATACGTGGTCATTTTAACATCTCCTGTTTGATTAGGCTACATTCCCCACACTAATTTTTCCTTCCATTCCTGCAATAGGTCATTCAGGTCTACCTGGTCACCTGTGAAGTAACAGCTGTGGTATTTGTAGGGTCCTTCACTAGAAAGTAGAGCGGAAATCTCAGTCACTCACAAACAAAATAAAATATTGAAAAAATAATTATGTTAGCTTAAATAAGACTGCACCTGATATCTTACAATATTACTATTCTGGACCACATATAGATAGAATAAACACCCAGGGACCAGTGATCACAACAGAATCTACTTGAAAAAATTAGAAGAAAATTTTCAAGTGAGACGTGAGAGTAAACATTGGGCTTTAGTTTATGAAGAACAGAACAAAAAAGCTTTTATTCCAGAGTACAGAAAATACCAGCAAAAGGTTTGCCCTTGTTAAATGATAATTCACAACAGACAGGTTAAAAATTTTAAGTAGAAAATGAACAATGAAAGCAAAAAGTATCAGCCAGAGCAAAGGCTGACAGAGCTAAGGACAATAATAAGAAATTTAAAAGACTGGTCAAGATTAAAAAAAAAAAAAAATAGATCCTTCCAATTCTGTAGCTATCAGCATAGCTACAAAGATTCAGACCAAACGTCAACACAGCATTCTTCCTTCAACCGTGGCTAATGACAGGAGTTTACTAGAACAAATGAAGGATACTTCCCTAGGATTCTCTGCAGGCCCCTCCATCCATTTGTGACTCAGGAATCTCCTGAGTGGGATGTCTATGTGTAAGACATAAATTGACTTTTCTTAATTTATCTTATGATACTTTGCACTCCTGACTCCACACTACTGAGTATTAAGCTGACTTTTTCATAGAACTGCTATAATTTCAAGGTGTTTATCCCTCTAATTGAGAGCTCATTACTGCTTATAGAAAACAATATTTTCTCCTGTATACATAAATTTGTGGCAAGAACTTAAGTTACAATTGAGTAATTCAAAGTGGTCCTATAACTGCAGTGTGTTGGGTAGTGCAGCTGCGTCAATGAGCAACGCACAGCTCTGTGTGGTCTTGCTACTCCCCAGCTAGAAGTCTGCATAAACAGGATAATGGATCAATTTGGAACAACAAATCAACTTGAAAAAATGAGGAAAGGAAAATAGGAGACGTTCAGCACACAGTTCAAGTTAGTCAGCATCAACAGATCATGCATAGATCATGCATAGCTGGAGCAGTCACGTAGATCAACGACTAAAGTGGATCAGGGAGGTTCATTTGCTCCAGATGAAGACACCATGGATAAGGACTTCCATAACCATCCAGGTAGCAACCAGATAACATTCTTGGGAGATCAGATTCCTTAAACATTACCCTATTTCAAGATCTGAATAAACTAGATTTTTCTGTCTCCCAAACAATGTTCACAAGTGTCTGGGCAATGATTTCATATTTATGTACGCCAACTTCCATTTGCCATTTGTCTGATCTGTCATGCAGTAACAGGAGTCTCCTGTCTCAACCCTTTGCAAACCAGCATGCTATTACTACCTACTCCTATTATCAGCATTGTTTCTTGGGTTGCTTTTTTATTTTGTTTTCATTTTGCTTCATTTTTTAAGCTCCTCCCCTCCCCCAGTAGCTGCTCCATGCACTGAATAGAAAAGTCTCTCACATTTTGCTACAAGGACTCCACCAGTAATCCATCTTTGACTAAATCAACAGTTTCAAGCCTTTGAACAAGTCACTCAACTACAAGTGAGAACCTTTCTACTAGCAGTAGCATACATCAACGTACAGAAAATCATATTAATCACCAATACACCTTTTGTTAAATAAACACAACTCTGTATATATTGAGCCTTTCATCCCACTCACAATCTATTTAATGCAGCATCTGTACACAAATAATAGAGCCTAGTTCCACTATTTATTCCATCACTACTAAGCAAAAGAAGATAGATTGCAGCAAAAAAAAAAAAATGGAGAAGGATTTTTATTTCCTTTTTGGTTGGCAAGACAAAAGAGAAGAGTTCTCAGTCATTGCTGACAACCATTTTCATTTTTATAGGCTAAAGGTGAAGTTCATATGACAGTTTCTCCATTTACAGTTTGGAATATTTTATAAACTTTTCAAATTTTTTTTTTTTTTTTTTTTTTTTTTTTTGCTGATGGACAGTTGATACTTAATGGAAACAAATTTGTTGGAAGCTAAACATTCTCCTTCCTTGAGAGCACCAAAAGGCATACAGAAGATTGATGCTCTAAAAAAAAGATCAGGTTCCTTTGCTACAAATGCTGAAGACGCTGGGCCAGAAAGCAGCAGCGCAAGAGTAGAGGTAGAGACAGAAGGTAATGTCAGTGAGTTAAAAGAGTTGATAATGATCACTGAGACTATTCAACTCTCAAAGACTTGTACAAACACTGTCAGAAAAGACCGCAGCATTCCTTAGATGACAAAACTTCTTAGGACTGAGAGTGTGCACTGGATGAAGTAACTAAAGATAACATAGATCTTGGGGTAGGACTTGGAGAGCATGTAATGAACTTTGAAGGACTGAAGAGTCCTGTTTTGCCTACATAATCAGAATGTCCCAATTCATTACTCATGGAATAATAGACACGTAGTAGAATTAAAATGCAAGTTATTTTTTTATTGCTCTGATTAAGTTCTATAGTAAACCTGGACAAATATAAGCCTGTCAGTTATACTGAAATTCCTTTCAGGTAATTAATTCTTGAAAATCTTACTCATGAAGTATGTATGCATTACTCCTAAGGCAACTGCAAAAATCACCAAACAGCTTATAGCTGACTCTGTTTTTTCCATGGATTGGCTTGGCTTGACCTGCTAATTTGCCTTGCAGTTCATTTTCACTGAAGTACAGATCTCAGGCTGTGAACAATTCACAGTGTTTAGTGCAAAGGCCACACAACCACAGAACAGAACTTACCCATCAATAGAACCAAAATAGGAAAGAGCTGGTATCGCATTCATCTTCTCCCAAACCAGGGAATGCCAGCAACCCAGAAAAAAAAATATACTGATCGCATGACTTGTTTGTGGGCCAAGGACACCAAAGAGCACAAATCCAAATAGCAACATCTTTCTAAATTCTATTAAAGGATTCCAAGACTATTAAGATGCTTTGTCTAACTCAGCAATCCAAAGGAAAATCTGTGCAAGCACTGACTGTCTGGAACAGTGAATGCAACTACGGCTACAAAGAAGAGTACAAATGTTTTAATCTGCACAGCTGAGCTGTCAGGGTCTTGTACTATAATCATCGCTAAAGAAAACTAGCAACCTTAGGCAACAAGCATCTAATGAGATAGCAGCATTACAAAGATAAACACTAAACTTGGCTAACGTCTATACAATGACAATGCTTGATTATAACTTACTGAAAAAAATGCATCTCTTTCTCTATTCAGTCACAATCCATGCTTTCATTTCTGTAAGATCTTTTAGTTTTAGTTTTCATGGAAATTACTTGACTTTGACACAACTCCAAATTCCAGTGTGCCTGAGATGCCCACTGATATCTCTATTTTACCACAGTCAGCACAGGAGGCACTAAAAACATAACAAGCACAGTTTTAAATGAGTTTCCACTTCAGACAAAAAATTTATAACATTCAAAGAAAGTTCTGATTGCTACAAGAAGTCTAGAATCTTTTCCATTCTGTCTTCCTCTTGGCAGTTCTCTATGATAAGATTCTTCTTTTGGTGAATGGGCAACTTTTACCAAACTGCAGTGAAGCCCAGAAAGGGGACTTATTGAAAACATAAAAGTTAACCCATAAATTACAACTACAAGGTAGGAGATGGGTTAAATAAAGTGGATGTTTCCTGATTAAAAAAAAAAAAAAAAAAAAAAAAGCCATAGTATTCATGGAACATGGAAATCGCTTGTTAATCCTATTTATATATGAGCAATTGCAAAAGTTAAGCTTTCCTCTGATGGAGCTTCAGCTGTGAAGCACTGCTAGTCTCAAGGTGCCATTACACATCTACATTACTCAAATGCCTTTATGTATAACAAAAAGCATCCTGCCTGGAAAACATTGTTAAGTAGAATAGTGCAATCCAAATGCAATACAGTCTCATCCTTCAGACTATCTATCCTAATACTCAGCACTTTCTCCAGCAGAATGTAAAAATGAAGGTCTGATGATATACTACCTGAATGAAGGATTCAAACCTACATATACCAAATTTTACTGTGATCATTCGGAGGAAGCCTGAATGGTTGTAAGGCACAGTATACATCATATCAAGCAGTCTTCAGGGCTTGCTTTTCTAAAAGATATCATGCTCTGGACAGATCTCTCTTCGAATGAAATCACTGATGACAGCTAAACAACAGCAAACATAGTTTGCTACCACTATTTCAATTTTTTTCTAACTAAAGCAAAGCTTTAAGTATGGTACATTTTTACTCTACTCACACTTCATCCTTGCAAATAATTCTACAGAAGAAGTCTTTATGAATACAATTTTCAACTGTCCCCTTGGATAATATCAAACTCAAGTCTGTAACATTCCTAATTTATTTGACTGCTGAAGCCTAGTGCCCCTGCTTTCCACCTGACTGGGCTTCTTCCCTCCCGTTACAGAGCTCTGTACCACTTACTGGCCTCAAATTCTTTCACCAATACGTACGAACATTTTCAAGGGGGCTGAACACATTTCACATAGTTAAGTGTAAACTAGACAATAAGAATTATGTGTTTTTTCTATCATACACTGGTCTTTATGACAAGCATGTTTTCCAGGAATAAGTCCTAGTTTCCTTACTCCAGGACAAGTTTTTTTTGTTTGTTTTGCTTTCTACCCAAGCCAAATTCCTCACTAAACTGCAAGCGAGTTTGCACAGAATCCTAGCAAATTAATGGAATTTGCTCCCTCTCATCTTCCCATACTTTCCCAATGTACTCAACTTGACTTTATGAGGCTGAACTCAGAGTATCTTTTCCTTAATAGATTCCAGATGTTTTCTGTAACAATTTTGGCATGAAAACACTGAAGAGCTGACTGACCAAATGTACTTATCTTCTATACTTTCTGACATCAGAGCTTACCATCTCTTTTGTAATGGAAGTAATGGAAGAAGGTGAAATAAAATTTCGTTCTATCGTGTCTTCTCTGCTGTCTTAAATACAACATCCCTCCTGAATATTAGAGGTGTATCATCTCACTACAACTCTTTTTTCCTTTTTTTTTTTTTTTTTTTTTTTTTTTAAAATCACCTCATTCCTAAGCCAAGATGAGAGACTACATTTCCTACTTATCTCAGCCTCCAGTACATCTCCTCCCTGAAATTTCTATTTAACCAACTCACTCTAGTTTTTAAATGGTGAATGGCTACAGTGGTATAGAAAACATACTTTGAATTCTTTAGTTGCTTGCTGACACTGGATTAGGTGGCAGTTTGGTACCAGTTAGTCTGCCTCTTCCGGCAAGGCATAAGCAAATCCACTGTGCCACTGAGGCTGTGAGATACCCAAGAGTTTCAGCCTGGATGTGCTCACAAGACAACCACCCTAAAACTCCTTAAGTTTTTTGCTCACAGATGGAAAAGCTTTTAGAAACCCCTACTAAGTCTATCCCACTGTTGATGGGGAGTTCAACAGACATTTTTAACAATTAGTTTGGTGGAAGAGTAACTCCAGTGGAAATAATCATGTTTATCTCTCATTGTGCATCCAGTCCTCTCACCTCCCAGTTTCAAAACCCTCATTTTCTGTTGGTTTTCATTTGCAATCCTTAATAGGTTCTCTCACATTTGAGCATTAACAATTCCTACCTAGCTTCAGTGATTATTCTTTTGTTTTCCATATTTTATGTTGCCCATTTTAACAGTGTTCTTGATTTTTATTTTATTATTAATATTTTTTTAAACTAGCTCCTCTAGCTCTGTCCAGAGACTCTTGTATGTTTGGACGAGCAAACAGCAAAGCCCTATCCAGCCAATCCGCCTCCACAACTAAGAGAGGAAGGAAACATTCCCAAGACTCTCAATTACCTATAGAAGGGCCTGGTAAATCCTCACTGTTGATTTAAGAAACGACAAGCTCCCTGTACAGGACCGTAGATCACTAACAATTGCTGCTGTCTGCTACCTTTCTGTTAGATTACCCTCTATTATTTAGGCTAATATGCAAGTACAGCAATATTCAATTTTCACAGCACATTTCTACAGCAGATAAAAAAATTTTGCCAATAAAGTCTGTTTAAAAAAAAGTCGTAATTTAAACAACTAAGCTGACAGACATGTTAATGTGGATAATGTTATACCAAGAGCAAAATGAATTTGCTAATATTCTGTATTTCTCCTTGAGGACATTACCACTTGGGGACTCGAGCTTCAGCAAAATGAATCTTATGTATCCTGTAGATTCTGTGGGATAAGTTTCAAAACTGAAACATCCACTATTTTACAAGTAATTTTATTTCTTCTGGAAGGGTTATTTTGGTTGTTAGTAACGTCCTTGCCAGTTTTGTATAAAGGCAGTTTTCTTCCTCTAACTGCATTTAAGCAAACTAAGCTTTAAAATAAATAATCTAAACAAGTTTGCTCATACAATTTAAAATCCTAGTGGAAATTGAGAGCTATGCTTTTACACATCAGCCAAACAAGGTGAACCCAGAGGTATGTTAGCAAAAAAAAAACAAAAAAAAACAGTACTAGCTAACATTTCAACAACTCCCGTTATTCTTGACAGAACTTAAAAGGTGTGACAACATGCTGGGCTTCTGAGAAGTCAGTCATCATTCTTATCCCCCACTGCCTAACTTAACTAGATATTATTTCAGTTCTGTGAGCCTCTATTTCATTTTTAAGTGTGTTCTAACAAAGACAAGAGAATTTTGTATACAAAAATCTGTAAATTTAAGGGACAAGTGCAGAGATAATTTCAGCAGCTCAGAACACATTGTTCTCTATCTGAATAGCTATGATTGTTCATGCCCGAATAGCCACAATTTTAGTTTATTTGAGAAATAAACTCATGGTGATGGGTGTCATGCATTAAAGATTAGAATCTGACCTTATAAGTCCTCTCCCACCATCAGGTATATGCTAAGAATTTCATTTTTCTTTTAAAATATAAGGGAACAACAATCACTTTCTCTGTCTTTATTACGAGAAGCAAATCAGTGATTTTTTTTTCATACTGTGAAGATTAGTTATATCTAAAAAAAAAAAAAATAAAAAAAATCAAGCTCACTCTCTGAGGAGAATGATTATCTCACAGACACAATGGCAGAGAAGAATATTAAAAGTTTTCCCCAGAGTCACACATATTTGTCAATCTTTATTCCACTCCATATTTAACTTAATTGCCACAAATGGTGCTTATAACCCCTCCTTTCATTACCAAGAACAGTCCAAGAAGGAACAGATGGCAACCCTACAGACTCTCTTGTCTTTCTTAATTTTCAGAATGCTGTCCTGCACATATGTATATAAGCTCCGACTCCCGCAGGCTACAGACGCATGGTTAATACAGATTTCAGAAATTGTTAGTGTTCCATATTGGTATGCTTAACTGTTTTGCATGAACTTTGACCTAAACTATACATATATTGAAAACCCTAGCACTTCTGATCAGAATTCCCAGATAGAAGCTACAATATAGGTTGAAATAATTCCTTTCCACAAGGATCTAGAATGAAGATCACTACATTATTCCACAGTCAGCAAAGGTCTTGTCGAAGACTAGCAAAATTATGCATTCAATTAGAAATAGGGATGCTGTAGTGCTGTTGCTCTATCCAATTTGGAAAAAAAACATGCTGCAATGTAAGTTACTATTCATCAGCACATTAACAATACTGGATTATTCCCCATCATTATTTTAAAAGAACGGGCAGGAAAAGTTATTTCAGTCTGTACCTAGCAATTACTGTATTAGAAAGAATGCATTATAGGTACTTTCTACCTTATCTATAACTAATTCTAGCATCTACTATCATCACTTTTTTTTTTTTTTTTTTTTTTTAAGGTATCATCTATGCAGCCTACAATAGTAAGGCTGCATTATTCAGTACACTGTGCCTACACAACATGGCAGATAACATCCTGCCCTACAGAGCATGGAAAACAAACTCCAGCAGAGGAGACAGGAAAAAAAACCTGGTCTCCAAGTGTTAATGAAATTTTATATGCACAACTGCTTTTCCTCTGAGACTTGCATATTTGACTGCCACCATCTTGACAACTCACATTTTCCTTTGGCAATAAAATGTTATGGTAAATGCACAGAAAAATCCATTTCCTCTTGTGTGCAAATTCCTCCACTTCATGCTGAAAACAACCCAGGTACTGACAATACGCAGATTTTGCTTCAAACATTTTTTGATGGGATCCTTTGACAGTTTCCAGGCTCCACTACCAAAGGCTCAACTGACAGTTTTAGAGGACCTCCATTAACTGCATGGTCTCATGTGGCTTAACATTGACCTTCCTCCTTAGCATACCAGATCCTGAATCAAATCATCGCTATTCTGAATCAAGCAAAAATACGCACACAAGCAAAACCCATCAGCAGCATTTCAAAAAACTGGGAAACATAAGGGCCAAAATTACTTAAACTTTCTTTTACAGCAACTTCATTTTCCTCAGTTACATTCAGGCACATATTTGTTTTCAAACAGTCATAAAAAGAAGCAATCTCCATCCACTTTTTTTTTTGAAGGGTGAGAGTGAGATGAGTTTTTTTGTGTTTTTTGTTGTTGTTGTTGTTGTTTTTTGTTTTGTTTTTAAATCACAGTGCCCCAGACTTACGGCATCACTTTGAGGCTGTGAGATCACAACAGGCTGCCCTGAATCACAGGTCTCCCGAATATTAACTTGCAGTGGAACGTCTCCTGTATTAAAGACACCAAACACGTGTAAGCAAAGACCTAAGATATCTTCAATGTTTCATCAAAATAGCCCTGAAGTGACTTGAAAACAAACTCCAGTTTTCTTGAAGTTCTTTGTATTACTTATTATAAATATATATATATTAAAAAAAAAATAAAAAATAAAAAAAATCAGCATTTCAAATGAAAATTGGCTGCAGAACAATTTCTATATCTCCAGTGTTTAATGCCAAATATAATCTGGCATTTTCAACTTCTGAATATGACAGACTATCCTAGGCAATAAATAAGGACAGGTTGCTTGCTTTTTTCTCTTGATTACACAGAAAGATACAAGCTGAGATACAAACTATTTCAAGTACATGAAGTTTGCAACATTAGGCAACTACTCATGCAACTTCCTAACCCCTGACTATATTATTTTCAGTGCTTTTTAAAGATCTTAATAGCCATTCAAAGACTCCTTTGAACACTTAATTTCCAAATAATAACATTTGTTATTGTCCTTATTAGGTTCTGTATCCAATTAAAAAGTAGCTAAGCATTGAGTTCCTTCTTTCCAACAGAAATCTTTTTTATATTCTTTTATAACAAGCAGGGAACTATCAGAGAGGAAAGCAATGTTCTGAAGAAGACTCAATTAGTCACCCTACACCACTCTGAAACACACTTTCTAAAATACAGTTTTTCAGCACTAAAGAAAACTTGAAGCTACCACGTTCAGTTCATTACTACAGAAATAATTAAGAGGTGAATTGAAAACCAACTTTTGTAATGAAAGATATAGCTGCACTTTACATCACAGATTGATGCAGACAGAATACACCATGCTTCATTCAATTTTGACTTGTCTCAGAAGCTGTAATTTTAATTCATGCATTTTAGCAACATTTAATTAGCCTCAACCAAGCCAGTGCAGATTAATGAAGTCCAACATAGTTAGAGAATGAAACATTTAAATGGGTGCTATAAAAACTGACAAAATTTAGAAATTACAAAGCTTGTTAAGAAAAAAAAAAAAAAAAAAAAAAAGAGAGAGAATGAAGAGCACATAGGAAATGAAATCAATAGCAGACAAAAGCAGTGGCTCCATGATTACGGAGCAGAATGCTTAAAGAAATTCAGGTGTTTAGTTTTTTTTTTATTATTATTATAACCATCCATTTGCTTTAAATTTAACTATGGCTTATTTTCTTTTTTCCAATCTTGAATGACTATTCTTAGCTATAATAAGTAAATAAACAAATGGAGTTCTTTAAAATTTTCTTTTACTCTTAATGTTCTTATTAACAGAATAAGAGTAACTTCATAAATATCCCAGAACTTAGCTCTTACAATTACTTTGTGTAAAGACTAATCTTCACTTGCTTTTCCAAACAGCGTTCTCTGTCAATTTAATAACAATCTCAAAATTACAAAAAAGAACTATCCTGCTACCGAGGCAGCTTTTCTCTTATCTTCCCAACACTTACAAAGATCTGATGGCCCAACAGAAGCACAAAGTCTTTCATGCACAAAAGCGCAAGTCAGAGAAGACAAAGCAACAGGCAAATCCAATTAAAAAAAAAAGTCAAAACTTTATTAAACAGAAGCACAAAAACCATAAAAAAAATCTGTGCATCTGTTTGGATAATAAGAATTTGAGGAAGATGAAGCTTTTGCACTGCTCATCATTTTGAAGATGATGGGAACTTATCAATGTATCAGATCTACATTTTTCTGATGTTAATCATTTAATAATGCAAAGAAAGCCTAAGTGCTCAAAAATTTTTATTATATTATAGGAAATAAATAAATAAATCTCAGAGTCTCTGCTGGCTCTATTAGCAGACAGTTTAATAAGTTTGGAAGTGCAGAAGTCAGCACACAGAGCACAATAGTCATTTATCTTAGCAGTATGTAAATCAATGGCATATCTTTCTGGTCATAATTCTGGCCACTCAACTGTAATAGGAAAAAAAAATATATCAAAATAGGGGAATTTCAGAGACAGAGAAAGAAATAATCAGCAATGCAAAATCTTTCTCATGGACTTCAGCATTCTTTCCTACATGAAAGAATTAAAAGATGAGAGAAAACCTACATGAAATAACAAATGAAACTCAGAAAGTGTACTGGTGACTCAATTGTCTTCTGTCATAAACAAGAATTAGAGAGGTTTTCAACAATATTAAAGGCTGCACGTTCTGAGAAAGTAATTGAAAAATACTTTTGTGTTCTGCACACTGTTAGCTTGCAGAACTTACTGGATATTATCAGAGAAACTAAGATCCATCAGGATTTACATGAGAACTAGGTCTTTAGCTGAACAAACAGAATAGCAAGATATAAACAAAATAAATTTTTACAGATAAATACAGATAAAATCTCTCAAAGCTTTTGGGTGCAATACAATAGCAAGAGGATAAAACTACCATTTGGGAAAGATTAACATATAAGCTGTAAGCAAAAACGTTTGTCATACCATATGGTATTATTGTGCAGTGGTCACCCTTGAAATACAAACCTACTAAACAGATCAAGTACTCTGATTCTAAATTTAGCCCTCAGGGCACTTTTCTTAATCTTAAAATTGCCGTCAGAAGGATTGACTAAGCTAAACTTCACTCTGCCTTTCTTCATACACCACATTTATCCCCTAACAAAATTCCTAACGTATCAGACCTTTAATTATTAAATACTATTACTAATATTATAATCAGTTCTGCCTTCTTAGGAAATACCAGAAAACATTTACAGGACCAATGGTAGGACAGATCATTCGTGCCTGTGTATCTAACCGCAGATTTGATTCAACTCCTTACAGAACATTTGCATCCATCCACATCACCCAGGGCTGCAGAAGTCTCCCCTGGGCTCTGATCACAACTCATTATACACTCTGAACACTAAAAGATAGCCCAAATGTGTGTCTTTAATTATGTGCTGCCGTGCTATTTTTAATTTGTGTCAGACCTTGAAGTTTTTGTGTTGATCTTTCTAAGTGAGCTTCCTGGTTCTTTTAATAAATTAGCTATGGAAAATCATTGAGATAATTATAGTAATACATGAAAACATATCATTAACACATGCAATTATCCCATTTACCAACTTAATTATGCTGTGTTATATTCTACAATTTTCTTTTTCTTCACTGATAATACAGGTTGAAATATGCCTTTTTAAAGCAGCAATGTGTTTTTTATAGATCAAAGTATATTTTAAATTTATGCCAGATTATTTAATCATGGACAACTTCTGTTTTAAAGAAATATAATTTTTTCTTCACAACAACATTTTGCAAGTCAGCATATTCTTTCAATTTCAACACATATAATCATTACACTCTGCTTGCTTCCATGCAAAAGTCAAGATATCTTCACTTGGACATAAAAATAACTGCTCTAATGAACTGCATATCAAACTGGCATATTTATTTCACAAATATAACAACGTATTTCATTTAAATGAAATAAAACTTTTATAGGCACTAAGATAGTCCTTAGGTTTATGTTCTACAGGACCACACAGAAGTCTTGACTGTCTGTAATTATTGGTATGTGATATGTAATATATTGAATTTCAGGTAATATAGCACATCCAAAAAAAAAAAAAAAAAAAAAATCCACATTCTGCATAGTACATAATTTAAGAGATTTAAGATGCAGTTCAAGAATTAACAAGAATAATCCTGAGCATAAATCTGAGCACGCAACAAAAGTGACATTCAATATCTTAAACTATAATTCTATCGTATTCAAACAATGTCTGAATATACAATACTTTAGAATCTATACTTCAATTAAAGCCTTCCATATTCATGCCATTAATAAGCTATTTCTGTATTCTTACCTAGAACATCCAATCCAACAGTTTTTGCTAGATCTCTTACACCATCTGCTCCAAAAATATGTGTCTCATGTTTACATTTGGGACACTGGAAAACACTCATATTCTGAACTAGTCCTAAAACCTGTCAAATGAAAAAGGAGAATGTTAACACCTGGGATTCAAGCTTCAGTTCTTATTCATCTCTGACAGCAAAGAAGAGATTATCAACACAGCATCAACAAATCATCATCAGTTACTTTCACTTCCATTTCTAAAGTATTTCTACATTATTTATTTTTTTCCATAATTATACATCTAAAGGATTAACTTACACGACACAAAAGTACCTCTTGAACTAGTCTAACTTTTCAACAGATCTCCTTCTCAGAAAAGATGTGTTACATTTCTGACCTTTGAATACCATTTTTTAGCTTTGTAATTCAAGGTTTTGGGATACAAAATAATAATTAAAAAATTTTTAAAGAAACAACAATCAAATGTGCTTTTCAGATATTTTATAACTTTTCCTGAAAGAAAATGTTTTCAAAAAGGATCAGATTTGCTATTTTTCTGTAAAGGAGGAAAAAATTTTGAAGATTAAATAACAAGAATAATTATGTGAAAGGAAGTGACAAAAACTACTTTTCTGTTGATGTCAGATGTTCATCTACATCCCTGTAAAACATCTCCTGCAAATTTGCCAAATCAGACACATAAATATCTTCTTTCACAATGTACAGCAATGCTCATGATAAAATAGATCTCATTTTATTCACCTAGTAAACAAGCCTGTTCATTGAGGAAGAGCAGAATTTCTCAGAAGTGATGACAACAGCACACAAACACTGCGAAAGAGAACTCATCCCTATTTGCTGATCAACAGAAGACTCGCTTTGGTGGTTCCACATTAGAAAATTTCAGTTCAAGATACTTATGCTACAGATGAATATATATTTTTAAGTTCAGAAAAGCTGTTACATATCTTGTGACATTCTGTGCTTCTTAAAATTCGCCTAAGCATTCTGGTTACATGTTTTGAAGAAACTAACAAAGTTAGAGGAATAATATATCCACTGTGAAATAATGATCCAAAAGGATGCTGGTTCAATGCAGGCAACAGCAACTACTTTTGGTCTTAAAGTTTTAACTAAAAGAATACGGAGGTAGCACTGTGAGCAGGTAAAGGCCTGTCATTTACAATTTCTTAAAGAAAGTTTCCTTGCCTCAAAGTTAAAACTAATCAAAGGATGATAATCTGTTTTTGTTTCCTATTCCACTGTTACATGTTCCATATTACTTTTTAAATCTTCACTCATGTAAAATTTTCAGAGTTTAAAGTACGCAACTTTCAAAGAAACAAACAATATACGTGTGGATAGATTAATAGATAGATGCAAACATATGCATGCCATCATCTGTAGCACATGAAAGAAGAGATCTCGATATTTATACTCAAAAGGAATTCATCCCACTCCAGATAACTTGGGTCTTTAACTTTTTATTCTCCTCAATATATTTATACAATGTTTATGATACAGCAAATTCATAATCAAAGTCATTCAGCCTACTAATGTTTCACGAACAGCTCAGAAATATTACAGCTGTTTTGTTAATTCTTTGATCATCTAGTACCTAAAGATGTCTGTCTGCACCAGTTAACACAAATACTGAGCTACAGCTGAATTCCCAAAGCTAGATTGGCTTTAGAAGTCCTATTCACCGTCCTTTTTGGTTTTAATTTAAACAAACCTTACTAAAAGCATGTGACATTTCCGCATTACAATACTGCTTTTATTATCTCAGCCTCATTCCCATCTGTCAAACACCAAATAGTACATATTTACTAAGGTATAAATTGTTCTTCTTGTACACAACTAGACTTTTGTAATATTAGTTGCCAATTACAAATACTAAATTTAATTCAGAATCTGTGCAAATATACAAACCTTGGTCACTGAAGTGTATTTTTAGCACATATCACTGCAGACACTTGGATAAACAAGAGATTTCACTATTACTTTCAGAGTCCTTAAATCTATAGAAAATGTAATAGGTTTTGCTAATAAAGTCAATAATGACTCTTATTTCCCTGTTTAAATACTATTTTTGGAAAAGCCTCAGGTTTGTCTGGACAAACTATTCTACAAGCATGCATGAATCCTCTGCTCCTCAGTGAGCTCTTCTGCCTGCATACTTCTCTGAAAAGTTGGCTCAGTGAAACAAACACTAGATGCTCTGCAGCACAGAAGCCAGCCTACAATACCTACAATAGCCTACAAAAAGTCATAGTTCTAATGCTAAACTTCTTTGGTCAAACTTTTTTATTTTGAATAGTGAAAAGACACCAAGAAATAACAAGAAAGTAAGGAAGTGGCAAATTCTCATTATTAATTATCTGTGCACATACGGTTTCTAAATGCTTATAAGTTCTTTTTGCTCAATTAACCTTTTGATTACACAACATACGGTGCTCAAATCCAAATATACACTACCTTCTCCAGACAAGGAAAAAATTCTGAGAAACTCTTAAATTTCAAATCAGTAAAGGACAAACAACATTAACAATTGTGACTCAGATTCAATTTTGACTTAAAACTAAATGCAATACATAGGCAGGACCTTCTTTAACACTAATGTAAATGAAACACTTATGTTGATGTATATATAAATTGAGAAAAAAAAAAAAAAGGAACAAAATGTAAGAACTCTAATGCATTGATTTCAGTGCATTGCAATCTACCATCAGGCATAACAGTGTTGTTGTGGCTTATCACTTGATTAAAATAGAACTAGTCATTCTATTTAGTCCACATACATACTTAAATCTTGCCTACCATGCATCAGGTTAAGCCAAGCCTACCACAGAATACTTGGCTTTATTGGAAGCCATTCTCTGCAAAAAACATTGAATGAAACTGACTTAAAAAGAAATTTGGAGAATTTCTCATTAGAAGGAAAATTCAGCAAATTACTAAATTAAATGTGATCTTACATGAAAAGTCATTCTGCACAATTTTAGTAAATCCAAACATATAATCAAAATAGAACATTTCACATGCTGCTCTTCTGTCGTATATTTTTTCTTCTAGTAGTAAACAGCAAATGCTACCACACTTTCATTTTGGTGCAAAGACACTTGAGCAGTAAATAATAAGGAATGTGTCAATTTATGTCTTTTGTTATGCTATTTTGCAAACTAAAACAAAAAAATGCTGGCTTTTAAAAGAGCTAAAAATGCTACTGAAGCTACTGAAGTGTTTCCCTATCTTAGCAAAAAGTAAAAGTAACCTTCACAGAGATGAGCCAGACAACAATTTTTTTTTTTTAAGTATCGTAAATAGCTTTTTCCTTTACTGTTTCAAATAATGAATAGTAATAATTAATAGTTTGTATCTTCTCATCACATGCACATTTCAAATGAAAAATGAGTCTTCATGAACATGCACTAGAGTAGAACGTTCTGTTACTTAGCAACTTGTAACACTGTCAAGACCTTAAATCAATGTAATCATACTTAAAAGAAAAAAAAACATTTAAGAAGTAATCTAGTTAGTTTATTTTAAATGAATATATTTTTGTTTACTTTTGTCCATCTATTTCAAATTCCTTTACTTGGTTCTTCAGTTTGAGAGTGGTGAGATGCTGGAACAGGCTGTTCAGAGAGATTGTGGATGCTCCGTCCCTGGAGGTGTTCAAGACCAGGTTGGATGGGGTCCTGAGCAACCTGGTCTAATTCTATGATTCTATCATTCAGTTTAAATGTAAAACATTAATTCTGTTATTTGCTCCATTTCAGTCCATATGAATATAGGGGATAATACTGAACTTTGCATTCCCCAAACAAACAAGCTACCACATAAGCTCTAAGCATAATGAAAACAAGGTGAAAACGATGGACTTCTTTCAGTGACAGCCACAGAGCCTTTCAAATGGCAGTGACAATTAGGTACACACAACTCCCCAAAACTTAAACTTCCTTTTTAAATTGTAGTGATATATGATTTTCCTCTCATCTAACAGAATGTTAGGTTAGAGCTATTCTTGAGAATACATAAAGAGGATACAGAAAGGCAGTACATTTGGAAAGAAGAGATTACTTTATAAATTACTTTATTTAGCTGGTTAGCATTCTGATCCATTCCAGGTGATTAAACAAATTGATTGAAAATAAATTGAATACTATTATTACTTGATGCTGAATTTTTTTTTTCCTTCTGCTAAAGAAAGCTTCTGAGACAGATAGGAGGCAGATTCTAACCTTTTTTTTTTTTTTTAAACAAGAATTTTTGACATTCAAGTGATCCAAGTGGATTGTTCATCTACCACAAACATAGAAAATTTTCAGATTTTTGGAATTATAATTTTTTTGAATCTACTGGTATTTTTAATGTAGATGCTTACAGGTACATGGACTTTTCTAAACATTTCAGTTCCTTTGCGTGCATCCAACAAAGCCACGTCTTGTGGAGTAGAGACGATTACAGCTCCTGAGAAAAGAAATATGAAATATCATTAGTTTAAATTATGATTCATAACTGCTAAGTATCTTGACAGTTGAACAGTTTTTTGGTGCTTTCTCCCTCCTCTCCCCCCTGTTTAAGAAAGAAAATTATCCTGTTTCTTTATAATGCAGTGACCAAAACTGCATGAGATATGATGCAGAGTAATAAAAAATAACTTAAGACTTTTTCGCCCTATATTTTTCTATGTGGAAACTACTTTACTATGCAAACGAGGAAACTGATCTAGCTGCCACGTGACCGCGAACAGATGACAGAATGGACATGAGTAGCTTTTCAGAGGCACAACACCATAGATGCACAGGACTTCACAGCAGGAGCCCTAGCATCTTAAGAGCCCTCCCAGTTCGCAAAGCACTGGGATAGGAAACCCTCAGATGGCTCCATGCAATCCATGTGCTGACTGACGGCATCTCTCCTGCATGACAGTCAGACATTTCCAAACATTGCCTAACAGCACATGTGAATGTTTTCGACCAGTATGCTTAACCTCTAGTTAAAAAGGAAAATACAATCTGGTGTTTCACTCCTGAAAAGCTGCCTCTCTCTGCCTTACATAATATTAGACTTAAGTCCAAAAACTGAACAGCGTATGTAACACATTAAGCAAACAATTTCCTATTGTTCTCTAAAACTCTGGAATGCAAATAATTTGCTGTTTTTCCTAAGCTGACCTGTTTCCAGTGACACGGCAAAGAATAACATGGAATCCTTTCAGCTACATCCAACACTTAAACTGGTCTTTTCAATGAAGGGCATTTTACATTTTATTGCCAACACTGAAATACAGAGTTAATTCCACAAAATGAATACACCCTAACTGAAATGTAGTGTACAAACTAGTAGCTCAGACTTAACAGCCCTGAATCTTTTAAATGATTTTTTTTTGTTGTTAAAAAATAATTGTAAAATGAAGATCTTTGAATACTTAGACAAAAAGCTTCTTATAGCTGTCTTCTCAGACAAAACCAGGAAACTAGAATTTTCTGTTGAATGTCTATACATGCACGTTAGCTATCCCACACAACAAGCTTTTGTCTACTTTTTTGTAGACAAAAATTTTCAGCACTCCCATGTAGCAGTTAACAGGCAGTCAGCAAAACTTAATTCCCCATTTTCTGGTCCAATATTTTTTAACAACTCAAATGAACGGCATGAAGTACAGAGGTTATGAACAATGAAAACATCCACTATAACCACAGGCAGTCTACGTGAAAGGTGTTTTTTATTGACAAATTCTCTTGCTAGAGAACCTCACATAAAGGGAGAAACTAATAAGATGAAATGATCCATTGGCAATTTACAGACTTTAGGCTGTCATGAATACCAATTCCCTTTATAAAAAAGAGCAGACTTCTGAGATACATAAGTTAAAACTAGGCTTGTAGACAGCCTGCACTTTTTTTTTTTTTCCATAGAATGAAAGTCTACACAATCAAGAATCTGCTTGTGCTGACACTATATAGATCTCTTCTATTTTCCTTTTCACTCTGAAAGGGATTATGGATATATATAAAAAGCACTTTTTTTTTTTTTTTTTAATAAAAAAAAAGTTGTTACTCCACTTTATGAGAATAAAGAAATCTGAAATCATTCTCTCATTGACACTGAGGACAGAACATCTTTGAAAAAGAGGCAACATCATAGTGCTTCCTCTGATAGCCACTGAGGTAACTGTAACAGCAGCAGTACAAAGCCTCACTAAGACTATCTGCCAGTGGCTTAAGCAAGCAGAGAACAGCATTCACTAATCAGACTGGTAATGTTGCTCAACAATCTGACACTTGCATAAGCAGTTTAAAGAAGGTTACTTTGAATTACTGTACTTTCATTAGGATTTGTCCTCTGGCTCTAATGCACTTTCCTGAGGCTCCAACTACTTAACAGAACCATCACTAAGTGATTTACTTCACAATAACATGGAAGATAAAGGACATCTCCCAATTTAAATTTCTTGAAATAAAATGTAAATTAAAGGTGGTCTCAAGGAAGTGCTACTCACCAATTCTAATCTAAATTCTAACAAAATAATTCTAACAAAAATATCTTCCACAGTAAGTTACTGATTTCATTTACTTCTTCTTATTAGAGGTAATCCTGACTCAGTTTTGAACATGCTAATTTGGGAAAGTGGAAGCACACTTCAGTTCTTCAGTAGCTTCTACCCTAGACTCCATTCATATATAATTTAGTAATGATTAAGTTCTTAAAATAAACTGTAAACATGATACAAGTTTAAAAAGTTTATATTGCAGCCACCAGAGATTTACTGACTTGTAGAATTTGATGAGCCTTTTGAACTATTTATGAAATACCTGTTTGGTGAGTGATTATTTCTTTGCAATCAACTGAAACTCAGTCAAAAAAAAAGAAAAAAGGACTGGAAGGGACTTCAAAGGCCTCCACTCCACTCCTAATATTGATATCTAAATCCATGCATAACCCACCCAAAACTCAAAGTGCAATTACTGATTAGGGAGAAGATCCACAAACTTCATGGTCAGAAAGCTGTGTTTCACATACAGACTAAAACAGCACAACCAGCTTGTACTGACTTACACCAACACACTTTAATCATACTTTCTCTCCTTGGTACAACTGCTAGCCGAACAAACTCAACCTGAAGTTCAAGAATTTAAGTACTTAGCAGCATTATTTCCTCCACCAGCAGCAGAATACAGCAGAGAGATTTTCCTTGGTGCTCCCCTTCACTGAATAAATTTGCATGTTTAATTTGGAAAGCATTCAAATGATGAGCAAGAAAGAACACAACTTCCCTTGCTGTTTCTGTTCTACATGTTTAATAGGAATATCAAACAGTCAAGAGTTATTTTGATCAACAAAGTAATGAAATATGACTGAATTCACACACACACTAGGTCTCTTGAAGCAATACGTGCAATGTTTACACAAGCTTGACTGAAGGAGGCAAATGAAGGCTGACAAATTGAACAGAGAGGTTGCAGAAACTATAATGTTATCACATTTCACATTAAAACATACCACAAATTCTGTGTTAACAGCTGCATGGAGAATAATTTCTATGCCTTAAGCATACTGAGGATATCTACCTTTAACACATTTACGTTTAACTGACATATCTACTTATTCATGCATTTCATTTATTTTTGTAACTTCATCATATTTCAGCTGGCAAAAAGCTGATGCACTTTGCATTAATAAAAACTATGCTAACTCTATTTTGAATCCTTAGCATGCATAATAGGGAGACGGAATGAACAGTGGGTCTAGAAGACTGATGTTTGCCTTTTTCCTTAAACCCCAGGTGCTTACTCCCAGTAAAAGAAACGTGTGCTCATACAACACTGGTACTCACCTCACTGGTGGACTGGTGCTTAGGAAATTAGGAATGCTGACAAAGCTTTAAAGTTATGGATATAGAAAACATTACCTCTATTCAGCATGTCATTAAGGTTTGCATTAGACACCTTGGATTACAAGGCACAAAGTGGTATCTCATCAACCCTTTGATATAGTCTATTTGAACCTAAGCAAACCCCATGAGCTTTCTTTCAAGGAAGTGGAAAAAAAGCCAGGCAAGTCTAAAAAACAGCTACGCTTACACGGTCTACCTCAGGATGAGAAGAACCACTCTCAAATAGATTCCTTGTGTTGTTCCCCTACCCCCCTCCAGTATTTACAAATGCAGAACTCATAACCAGGCTATGACTCCCCCCACCAACACTAGATTAATGTCTAGATGATATCACCCTAATTTTTTACTAGCTTAGTAAATAACATCAACTAGAAAACCTGTGGAGTGAGAAATAAGAGTCCAGGAAGACTGACAGAGTTCTGAGAGAAAAAAATACAGAAAGTTATACAGAGATACTCATCTCTCTAACAATCGCCTGTTGATACACAGGCACCAAACACTCTTGCAGACGCACATCCACATGGCTGCCACAGCCTGATCTGACTGCAACACTCATTTATTTTTTGTAGCTTTTGGTACATCTTCCACTGCATCAATTCTAAGCATCCAGGCAAGACTTACAAGTTATAAATAGCCTAATGAACCTGAATCATCTCTATTGCAGATCTTCACAGGCTCTCTTGCTTTCTGTTGAACTTCTTGTTATTTCATTGATAAAATATGCCTACAATTATAGCACACAGTTTACACTTGAAGATGCAGAACAAGCTATTGCAAGAACAAAGACTAGTTTTTGCTAAGATTTCAGCTGGTAATTCTTAAAGTTGTACTAACACTGAAAACATGCCCATCTCCTTGGGTGAACTGCATAAAGGAATTCCTTCAGCTTCTGCATGCAACATTCTCATTGCAACTAGTAACATGAAAAAACCATTAGCATTACTTTCCTTTAAGGGATCCTTGAGACTCATAACTCAGCTCAGGACTGTCCTGAAGGCTGGATCCTGGCTGCGTCCCACTTCCAGCTTACATCTGTCAACTACAATTTTTTTTTTACAACAGTAACAAACTATTTTATTGTACAACCTAAAGTTATATGAATACAATCATCAATCCATAAAGAGCCAATGTTGTGATTGAAGGTTTTCTTGCTGTTCTCTTTTAATCCATCCAAAATTTATGCCTTTTTGCTTTCCTGCAGTTATTTAAAATATCCGAATATAGCATGAAAGAAAGACTAAATCTCCAAGGTCACCTGAAAAAAATATAAAAATGCGATACTAAAAATATTTGCCATTCAAAAACAGATGAAGTAAAATTTACCATTATCAAAAATCAAGATGACTTCCACAAAGAATCTTCAAAAATTTACCATAGAAATGAACAATGCACTTCCTACATAAAAGAGGAAAGAAAGCTCAAAAATTGAGGAAAAACATTGTGCATCATTGTTAGATTAAAAGGAAAGAAGATCAGATGCCTTGCAACTATGATTTGCATCAAAGAAAGATTTTCAACAAGGGGCAAATAGACACTTGCACAAAGAGCAGTGACAGAATACAGATACACC